TCAACAAGCTGGTCACTTTCATGCGAATGTCGTAGTCACTGAGCTCATAGGTATCTTTAGCCGTAGAAATATGATTACACCACTCACGTACACCAACATTACCATCAGGATCATATGAGGGTAGGAAGACCTCTGTGATTTTAACCTTATTATTGGGTTGTTGGAGTCGTTCAGTCATGGTCTGCATCATTTTCATCATGTGTAGGAAAAAATCAGGTGGTACATTACCAATTTGTTGTGATACTGGGCTTGCAGTGTGCTCACTAGGAGTCGGGTTGCTCGGTCCCGAAGGACACGTAGGAGGCTCATCTGACTCGGCTCCGTCCATGGTGCACGCTGTAATGCTTCAGTCAGGATTATCTGAAATCGTCGAAAGACCAGAGCAGAAAGGGGATCGCATGGCGATCCCACTTCTGATATCGAAACAGAATTTGGGTTCGATTTAAAAAGTAATGTAAAACCGTTGACCTTTATCAAGGTCAAGGCTCTACAGTCTTTATTTAAGCTAAGAAGGTAATAACGATTAAATGAAACATAAAACAGTTAAGGAGTTAACTTGTTTTTAATAGTTATTTCATCAATGTTTGGGGGGTAGGTGAAATTACGTCTGTTCGCTAAGGAATTACCATTATGAGAAGAACAGACAAGAAACTCATAAGGTTTTTTTTTTTTCAACAGTCAAACATTATTACAATTTCATTTACTTCAACTAGAAAAACTTAGAAAGTTAATACTCAACATTTAAATAAACTATTTTTCAACACTATTTCTTAACAAATTGATCTTTAACTCGAATAACTATCGAAATAATAGCAAGACACTAATTTGATTGGAATCCGGGGAGAAATTGGACAAAGGTTCAACACTCACTTGTTTTCCCGCTCAAAATCCGTCACAGACTCTCTCTCAATAATGTTTTTCAAGCCCACCTGCTGCCACTCTGGCGGCAACGTCTAGTTGCGCGTCAAAACGGAGGCAGATGGCGCTAACGTATTTTCGTAATATTAAATTTACCACAAATAACCATATTAAGAATTCCAAATCAAGCCTTAATTATTTAAACAATATTACAAATAAGTTCTGATAGTCTAAAGCAATCAAAACATTTCAAATAGTAAAAACAACTTACATTGAAAGTACTCACAAAGACTTGCATCAAATTAACTCACCAAAATTAAAACTTCACGTTAATACAGTATTATGAATTACAATCTTGTCTAAAAATTGTAATTAGATTTTAGAGAGTGAAATTTATAATCAAAAATAATCAATAACAATAATCAATTTAATTAATTTCCGGCGCCTCCAAAACTCCGCGGCGACATATATATATATATTAAGTTTTACATAATACATACTTTATTTATCTATACTACATATTAATATAATATTTTAATTGTTTAATTTTCATATATATTTATTGCGTCATAGCAAATCACTAAGGACGGACTTTTTCTTACAAATTGTATCGAAGTGTAAGTCAATGACATCGCTGTAGTGATTCACTACTTTACACATTCTTGCGAAGGGAGAATTGGAACCAAGAACTGTTCTTCTTAGCGGGGAACAAAGTGGCGCGACTGGGCTGCGCGGGAGTCTAGATGGAACGCGAAACTTCAAAAGGGCTACAAACTGAGGACAGTCAATTTTCTGGTCTAGAATTTTGTACGCGAACATTGCATCGTTTAGGCTTATACGTCTTGCTAGGGATTTTATTCAAAAGTGCCTCATTCTGTCTTCAGAAGAGCGTATTTTTTTGGTGATGCCATTGGAGAATGCAAGGTGACAGAGAAATCTCTTTTGTACACGTTCATCTCTTCAAGAAAAAACAATAGACTTACTTAAAAGCAACAAGTTTTAACTAATTCTATTGTTTTTTCTTTAATTAAATACATCGGGATGCCAAACTGAATTATGAATACTCGTACAAACAACCGACAATAGAATGTGAGAATAAATCATAATAGAACATCTTTGTATTAATTTATTGGACTAATGAGAAGCTATTTGTCAGTTCACGGATAAGGCGGTCTGTGAAAGGTCCTACTGTGTGACTGAAGTATGCTAAGCCTAGATTATCGTAAACGAAGTAGAGTACTTATCGGTGAGATTCATTGTTTTGGCTGTTGACTTTAATAGTTTGACTGTAAATTATTGATAAATAATGAAATGTAGCTTCACTCTGTATTTTCTCTCGCTTTGTATCATGGAGAGTGCTTCAAGGAATTGTTTGGACTAATACCAGCCGTAGCTTTCCGCCACCGTTCCACATGGTAAAATTTTAATCCCTTCATCACTTGGATAATTGGCCCTCCACCACTGTGCGCTTTCAAGACACTATTTGCCTCACACAACCAAACTGTGGAACAAATTGTCGTCTGTGGTATTTCCGAACCGATACGACCTTGAAGAAAAGAGCGGACTTTTTCCACACTTCCATCGCCCAACATAGGCACCATGTTGGACTATACCACATTTCGCCTTACCACTTGCCTTCGTTTAGGAGCTCTATGTGTTTCACCGCATCTTTATCACTGCGGAGAATCTGTTAATAGTCTCGGACGTCATGCACTTTCTTGTAACAAAAGTTCTGACCGTATATCTCGATAGGCTAATATTATATATCGTGCTCCTGTTGCCGCCAGCGCAGTTTTACGTGAATCGTCTGGTACGAGACTATGGAAAGAGACCAAATAGTATGTCGTTACTGCCGTGGGAGATGGCTAAAACTGGCGTAAAATGCAACTTTCGTTGATACTCTCACGCCGCTACATTTTCCAAGCACAGTTAGTTGTGTCGGTGCTGTTGCTGCATGTGCTGCAAGATTGTAGGTTGCTACTACCACTGGATGCGCAATGTATGGAAAAAGGCCAGATAGCTTGGGCATCATACAAAAGTAGAAAATAGAATAATAGGAATGTGTGCTGCTTTGCCTCTATTGCCAGCGGATGCTGTAGTTGCAGGCTGGGCCTATATTCAATCCGAATATGAAAATACCAACTTGAAAATGGTCAATTTCATCAATTATATAGACAGGTTTATGAAAAAGGGTAACTTTGTTCCCATAATGTCAGTGTTCGGAGAGCATCACCGCACTAATAACGTTTTAGAGTCATGGCACTCTACCCTAAATAAACATCTAAACACGAATACTGTGACTGTGTTAAGACTACTAAATGTTCTTCATAATGCTAGAGAAATACAATGTTGTTGCAAAAGATCTATGTTCAAGACTCCGGAAAGATGAATATATTATTAAAGACGAATTTATTCACAACGTGCAACTTCAATACATTAATGGACTAATCACATTAGGGCATGCACTAGATAAGCTTAGATGAATGGAAATACCACTGTTTCCAATTGCGCTACCCAGCCATCGCACCTGGGAGTAGACCTTTTTTCGTTTTCTTTTTTTTTAAATATCATTAACATATGTATTTAGTATAACATATACCATATTAAATGCTTACGATAACCATAACGATGAATTTTTGTACACCGATTATAATTAGTTGTGTCTCTAGGAACTAATATTAATTGAAAATTATTTAGTTGTGCCAATAGGAATGATTTAAAAACAAAAATCCTTATGACACAACTAGTTGTGCATACATAGTTTGGTCCATGAGGAAACAGCGAGCACTGTTACGAACACGCATTATCGTAAGCTAACTATGCTATGCGAATAGGAAAGCCCGCTTGCCTATTGCGCTTTGACATGATTGATATAAAACTTAAGAAAGTTTAGAATAAAACCTCCGCCTCAATCATCATCTTTTATTAAAGTTATGTAAATTATTCAACTTATGTTGTGTGTATTATTAATTAAAGCCTGTATTATGGTACCCAATCTGCTGATAAACTCATGAAGTAAGAGAAAGTTGTAGAATAAGGTATAAGGTAAGGTAAAACAAACACGACGGGTTGCACTCCGGTGAGTGCCGGCAGAAGTGAAAACTTACATGTTAACGTTGTGCTATTTTTGACATTTGTGGAATGGTTAGGGAAATAATTTTGCATGAATTGTCTTTAATTATCAGTATAAAAGTACTATCATTTATGTGGTAGAATAAATATTTATTTATTGCGCTATCGTACATAAACATGACAATTTATATTACATTAAAAAGTTTATCTCTCAGAAAAACGAAACATTCCCCGCAAGGCCCTGAACGAAAACAGCAGGCGCAGGCATACATTTTCGCCGCGCCGTAGAAAGAAAAGGGATACTCCCCTCCTACGCTGCGCCGACTGTCTACTCTCCATCCGCTTACGAATTTTCGATCAGGTCACGTGTCCTGACGCGAGTTTAACAAATTTATTATCCATTACAAAAAAAGTGTACCATGCTGCTAAAGAAGTTTTTTCTTCAAAAACATCTATTTTTTTACGAGTTTTTGAATAAACAAATTATAGTGTAGGAAGTAATGACCTAAACCTATAACTAATAATTAATAAACCTTAGTTCGCCTGTTTAAACGGCATTTAATCCAATATATTTTTAATTTTGTGTATACCTATTTAAGTACCAAAGCTAACACACAGGTGAATACAAAATTTAAAAGTGCTAAACCCAATTAAAATTTATATACGTCAAACATTATTCTTTTCTAATACGCATTACGAGTACGCTACACTGTGGGCACAATATCTGGACGTAACTTTGAGTGGCGCGCAGCCGACTCGCGCAGTGACTCGCGCAGCTTTTTGACATGCTGCGTCTTTGCGTACGTACGTTATGGGGGGGTGAGGTAATGTTTGCACACCTACACACCGCGCTGCAAGAGCGCCTTAAATTTCGATCAGTCACAACCCAATTGTTGTTTATAGAATAGGGGGCGAACGAGCAGACGGGTCACCTGATGGTAAGCGACTACCGCCACCCATGAACGCGATGGCCACGCGTGGTCCTGATGTTATACTCTGTGTTCCGGTTTAACTAACTTATCAATAATCAAACTTCATCATACTAAAAAGTTAACCCGTAAATGTTTTAATTATGGATATTTCTTTCTGTTTCCTTCACTACCCTCACTTACAACCAGACCTTTGAATTGACTTGTTAACGACTTGATACAATCCACTTCATCTTTAGTCAATCCAACGGGTAAATCAAACTTAGCATACTCATTTCTATCAGACAAATCGTTACACATTCCAACGACACTACTTTTAAAATCCTCATCAACAACATATACAGTTTTCTCCTCAACATCTTCTTTATTAAACACTTTCTGCCACATTAATTTCTCATTTGCAAAAGATTTTTTTGTCCGTTCATCCAACTGAGACAACGTTGCCCCGATTTCTTTGTTCTTCGGTTCCAATTTTAAAGCTTTCTTGTAGTATTTTATCGCGTCTTCTACTTTACCTTGCATTTCGTATGCTCTTCCATAGTAAAATAGACCTTTACAATGTGTATTGATGTCAATGTATCTATCAATGTTCTCACACATTGTAATAACATTCTTCGGTTTAGCAATTTTGTAGTAACAAACGGCTAAGTTAACAAAAAATTTAACTTTTATGTTTCTTATTTCTGCTTCTTCTGCTTCATTCTCTGTCTCAGTCAGTCTTATTATAGATATAGCGTGTTCATAACTCTTGATCGCTCTTTTAAACTTCTGCCGTTTGAAGAGATCCTTTCCTTCTTCTCTAATATCTTTAATGGCATTCATTGCTACATCGAATTTTGCTTGCACAGCTTTCGTTCGTAGGTCGTTGAACCTGTAAAACATAAAGCTTCAGAAGAAGTACATACAAACATTCGTAAAAAGGACACAAAGCACATCCAGACTCAGAACAACAATTTATGGATCACACAATCTATATTTGTAGTGGGATCTCCGATTTCCCCATTTAGATTCAAGAGCTGAAGCATACACACTATACACAGGCTTCTAGGAGCGATTTTGTATCAGTGGATCACACAATGTGTTGTCCAATGTAGGGATCAAACCCACAGCACTCAGAACAATAGCGGCAGAGGTAGTAACTTCCATCAGGTGATCCGCCCATCTGGGCAGCTCGTTTAGCCGCTCTTCAACAAAAAAATAAATAGAAAAAGCCGTGTGGTGTCGTGGGACACCCGATAGGAACGAAGTTGTGACGATCGAGTAAAACTGATTTGACACGATTTTAATTACAACGCCATCTATGAAAGCGGAAAGTCAATTCAAAGGTCTGGTTGTAAGTGAGGATGGTGAAGGAAACAGAAAGAAAATATCCATAATTAAAACATTTACGGGTTAACTTTTTAGTATGATGAAGTTTGATTATTGATAAGTTAGTTAAACCGGAACACAGAGTATAACATCAGGACCACGCGTGGCCATCGCGTTCATGGGTGGCGGTAGTCGCTTACCATCAGGTGACCCGTCTGCTCGTTCGCCCCCTATTCTATAAACAACAATTGGGTTGGGACTGATCGAAATTTAAGGCGCTCTTGCAGCGCGGTGTGTAGGTGTGCAAACATTACCTCACCCCCCACTAACGTATCGTACGCAAAGACGCAGCATGTCAAAAAGCTGCGCGAGTCGGCTGCGCGCCACTCAAAGTTACGTCCAGATATTGTGCCACAGTGTAGCGTACTCGTAATGCAGTAGTTAGAAAAGAATATAATGTTTGACGTATATAATTCTAATTGGCTTTAGCACTTTTAAATTTTGTTATTCACCTGTGTGTTAGCTTTCTACTTAAATAGGTATACACGAAATTAAAAATATATTGGAATTAAATGACCGTTTAAACAGGCGAACTAAGGTTTATTAATTATTAGTTATAGGATATTAGGTCATTACTTCCTACACATATAATTTGTTTATTCAAAATCTCATAAACAATAGATGTTTTTGAAGAAAAAACTTCTTTAGCAGCATGGTACACTTTTTTTGTAATGGATAATAAATGTTAAACTCGCGTCAGGACACGTGACCTGATCGAAAATTCGTAAGACGGATGGAGAGTAGACAGTCGGCGCAGCGTAGGAGAGGAAGTATCCCCTTCTCTTTCTACGGCGCGGCGAAAATGTATGCCTGCGCCTGCTGTTTCGTTCAGGGCGCTTGCGCGAATGTTCGTTTTTCTGAGAGACAAACTTTTTAATGTAATATAAATTGTCATGTTTATGTACGATAGCGCAATAAATAAATATTGTATTCTACCACATAAATGATAGTACTTTTATACTGATAATTAAAGCAATTCATGAAAAATTATTCCCTAACCATTCCAAAATATCAAAAATGCACAACGTTAATATTAAAGTTTTCACTTCTGCCGGCACTCCCGGAGTGCAACCCGTTGTTTTCTTTTAATACCTTATTCTACAATTTTTTCTTACTTCATGAGTTTATCAGCAGATTGGGTACCATAATACAGGCTTTAATTAATAATACACACAACATAAGTTGAATAATTCACATAACTTTAATAAAAGATGATGATTGAGGCGGAGGTTTTATTCTAAACTTTCTTAAGTTTTATATCAATCATGTCAAAGCGCAATAGGCAGGCGGGCTTTCCTATTCGCATAGCATAGTTAGCTTACGATAATGCGTTTCGTAACAGTGCTCGCTGTTTCCTCATGGACCAACTATGTATGCACAACTAGTTGTGTCATAAGGATTTTTGTTTTTAAATCATTCCTATTGGCACAACTAAATAATTTTCAATTAATATTAGTTCCTAGAGACACAACTAATTATAATCGGTGTACAAAAATTCATCGTTATGGTTATCGTAAGCATTTAATATGGTATATATTATACTAAATACATATGTTAATGATATTTAAAAAAAAGAAAACGAAAAGAGGTCTACTCCCAGGTGAGATGGCTGGGTAGCGCAATTGGAAACAGTGGTATTTCCATTCATCTAAGCTTATCTAGTGCATGCCCTAATGTGATTAGTCCCATTAATGTATTGAAGTTTGCACGTTGTGAATAAATTCGTCTTTAATAATATATTCATCTTTCCGGAGTCTTGAACATAGATCTTTTGCAACAACATTGTATTTCTCTAGCATTATGAAGAACATTTAGTAGTCTTAACACAGTCACAGTATTCGTGTTTAGATGTTTATTTAGGGTAGAGTGCCATGACTCTACAACGTTATTAGTGCGGTGATGCTCTCCGAACACGGACATTATGGGAACAAAGTTACCCTTTTTCATAGACCTGTCTATATAATTGATGAAATTGACCATTTTCAAGTTGGTATTTTCATATTCGGATTGAATATAGGCCCAGCCTGCAACTACAGCATCCGCTGGCAATAGAGGCAAAGCAGCACACATTCCTATTATTCTATTTTCTACTTTTGTATGATGCCCAAGCTGTTTGGCCTTTTTCCATACATTGCGCATCCACCACTGGATGCGCAATGTATGCAGTAGCAACCTACAATCTTTATCTCTGGGAACATCTTTGTAACCGCGTTGATAAATGCAGTTTCGTAATCGCAATGAATTTTCGTTATATTCCACCCGACTCGATTAATAATGCTAAGTGAAGCGACGTAACTACTCTCCTTTTTGTTAGACATGAGCGCAAAAATATATGGTACTGATAGTCGCTGTATAAAGCAATCTTTCCACCTTTATTATCGATGAATATAAGTTCTTCGTCTTCTGGCGTAGACATAGACATGCTTAAAGTCAGGATATTCGCCAGCGTATGCACGAAAATAATATATCATTTTTTTTTAAATAATTACTGATACTTAATGACATGAAATGGCATTTATAATTTTCTATTTGTTAACATATAAAGATATGACAGAGGTGGCCAACATAATCATCAATATCTGAAGAGGTTAGTAATAATATTATTTATTTCCTCCTGTAGTTGTGCTAAAAGGAATGGTTATAGTAAATCAGTTGTGCTTAGTTGTGCATAGTTGTGTCATTAAGAAGATATTCTGGGATGGCACAACTAGTTGTGCGTACATAGTTGGTCCATGAGGAAAACGGGACAGTGCTGTCTGAAGAGACCTTATTTACCAACATACTTAAATTGGCTCTATCAATTTCATATATATAATAATTAGTATTTCGCTTTCTATTTCAAAGATAATTTCAAAAAATAGTGTACTGTGTAATATTAGTGTCAGATACACTCGGAATTTAAGCGTATGTTAAAGAGCCTGATGATGCTTCATTTTCTTTTCCTGAGGTTAAAAATATGTTTCGGATTAGCATGCCACGCGTGTGCCTTGTTTTTTTTTTTTTGTTTGCCGGAACGACCAACGAGCCATCGTGGCTCGGCGAGCGGCTTCGCGCCACTCGCGCACATCCTCGGGCGGAGGGCGAAATCCGCTCTCCGCCCGGGAGTCAGCCACTCGCCGATAGACTTCGGCGTGCACTTCCGCCTCAAAATCCCACGGGGGAGTTCCGGCCAACGCGCATACCACCTCCGTCGAAACGGTGCGGTATCCGCGTATGGCTCTGACCGCCATTACCCTCTGAGGGCGCCAGAGGCGTGCCCTATTCTGGGCGGTCAGAGCCGCCGCCCACACCGGTGCACCGTATAGTGCCATTGACCGGACAACCCCCGTGTACAGCCGTCTTGTCGCGACGCTGGGTCCACCCAAATTGGGCAAAAGTCGCCCTAGGGCAGACGCAGCGCCGACCAGCTTTGGAGCAAGTGCTCGTCGAAGAGCCACCTCCCGTCGAGGATCAGGCCCAGATATTTCATCTGGGCCCGAACCGGTACGAGGACCGAGTTGACCACGATTGAGGCGCCAGGGGGTGGACCACGACGGGGCCCATGAAATAACAGGGCCTCCGTCTTATCTAAGGGTGGTAACCTGGAGTAGAGACAATCTCTTGCAGTTTAATACCTCGAAGTGCGTGGCTATCACCTTCTCACGCTCACAACCCATCTCGTATAATTATAATTTAGACGGGACACAGATGGTAAGGGTCACAGAGGTTAGGGATTTAGGGGTTTGTGTTAATACTGAGCTAAGATTTCGTGATCACATAGTGAAATGCTGTAAAAAAGCTTATAGGAATTTGGGTTTTGTTTTACGAACAGTAAAGGACTTTAGAAACCTAAATACAATTATAGCATTGTATAAGTAAGAAGTCAGCTAGAGAGTAACGCAGTCATCTGGGCCCCACATGAAGCTAAATATAGTCTCATGTTGGAGCGAGTTCAAAATAAATTTGTTAGGTTTTTGTACTTCAGATACTATGGAGTATAACCATTGTATCCATTAATGTATCCCACGTTATTTATTCTGGGTATGGTGGGATACAATGAACTGATGGGTCAGAAGGGAAACTCACACTCGTCTCGTACCTGTTTAGGGTACTCAGGGGTGGGATACATAATGAAGATGTGTTAGGACGAGTCAGCATATGTGTTCCGGACAGATACGTGTGGCGTCGCCGCCGGCCGCCGCTGCTGGCTGTCCCGTGCGGGCGCACCAACCTGCAGAGAGAAGCACCGCTGACGCGCGCACTACGTACTCTGAATATAATTGCGGATGAAATAGATTTATTTTATTGCTCATTGAGTGAATTCACAATAACAGCATTAAGAATTATTTCTTATAATAAATAAGTAGATGGTATAACACTATTGCATTGGCCTAAACCTGTAAAAATAGTTGTTTTTAAAGAAAATAAATAAATAAATCTAGGGCCACCCGTAAGCCAGCGCCTCAATGCGCCCGACCACCAGGGAGACTCCCCTTGTGGCCAGGCGCGCCGCCTCTTGGAAGTTCGCCCCCCGGGCTGTCACCAGAGTGTCATCTGCGTAACAAATTACACCCAGCCCGGGGGGAAATCGGCTCGAAGGGCCCCAGTCGTACCCTATGTTCCACAAGAGGGGTCCAAGAACAGACCCCTGTGGAACACCGCACGAACATGCCACGCGTGTGCCTTGGGTCAACCAATTTCGGCAGTAAGCAGGTCAAATAAAATTGAACCAACCTTGGTTCCATTCTTTCTTTTCAAAATTCGTCGTCTTTTTCAATATATTGTATAAACACTGGTTCATATTATGATACCCACAAATCAAAAAGACATGTAACTGACCTTGAATTTGATGAAACCAGTTATCGAATTTTTTTTTGTAGCGGATCAGCTGAATTTTATTATTTTCTAGGGCTTGCTGCAATCCTTCTTTGGCAGCAACTAATGAGCATTTCACTTCAACTAACATATCATTCCCAATCAAGCCATCAGGTGTAGCTCTAATAAATGGGTATTGCTTTTCAATAAAAAGTCCACATGCTTAAATTTTCAATTAGTTTTCTTGCTGAATTTGTTGTATGGCTTGCTTTTCATTTTCAATCCCATGAGCTACCGAGGTCACTTGCGACAAATTCTTTTTGTACAAAATATTTTTTACCAAAGAAGATGTATCCGTAGAGGGTTTCTTCTTGCAAATATTTTCTAAATTCGAAGCTGTTATTTTTTTTTCTTATTTCAAGCCACTCACTCGAGTCCCTTTGTAGGACGATCGATATTTCAATATGATCTCTGTCTGCTGTAAGATTGATTAATTTGTTTAAATAACTAGCTTTCCTTCGCTCCAAATCAAACATTGACATATCTGGTGCCGACCTAGCTTGACCATAGTCGTGCTATAGGTCGTTATTAGCGTTTTGAAATCTACGTATCTTTTTTACTGGATGTTCCAAATCCAGTTTACGTTTATGGGCCCTTTTTTTCGATGTACTTTAAAACTCTTCTTGAAGGACTTCTATTTAACATTTTTTTTTGCTCAGCTGAAATGGCGGCATTCCTGATAAAAGATACTACTGCTGCTGCACATCTTCCTTGGTACCCGCATCTGAGAGCAAATTAATTCTTTTCCCACCGACAAATTTAGCTATAACATTATTAAATCTTTTGACATACACAATAGCTATTGCTTGAGACATTGAGTCAAATGCACACGTATTTATCGTTAATATATTGTCACATGTGTTAATAATATTTCCATTTAATAAAATGGGTACCTTCACTTTCCGTTGCTTTGGAATTGATTTTTTTACATAACCTTTACCCCGCCAATTCTCGATAAATGTTGGATTTTTTGAAAATATGGAATCACTGTCTGAGTATTCTCCTTTTTTCGTTTTTATTTCGGCAATTTTCTTTTTAGATACTTTAGGTTTAGTTTTAGGATCAGATTGTAAATAACTCATTGCAAGTTTAGTTTCGCCAGACAAAAAACTATGATGCTGCAAAATGAAATCATCAATTCGTAATCGATGCAATTTTGTTGTTAAATTAAGAAGAAATCTTTTGATACTTTTAAAATAATTTTCTACATTGGAAGATGTTGGAGCATCTATTTGACTTTCATAAATATTCATCATACAATTAGACCACAGGGGAACTTGGCTGATATATCTTAGTAAAGTTTCGACTAATGAAGGCATGTAATAGAAATTTTCAATATTTTTCAAATTTTCTTCTTCTAATTCATTTATAAGGTTTTCTGTGCTGATATGATCTATTAACCATTTTACTCTAATATCGCCTTTATTTATATGAATTTCTGGATGCTCATTTTCTAATTCAGTGTTAATATTTTGGAATACTGATGTTCTTTTATAATCACTGCTATCATTGTTTATATTTATGTAAATTTTTTCTATGCTATCTTTCTTTTTAAATACAGATAAATTTTTCAACCTCATCCTTGCTTCATCACTTCTTAAAACATTGCCGTGAACAGATCCAATATATTTCGATAAGCATAACGTTACCATGTCTTTTACAGTTTGTTTGATTACTTCGTAATCTTGGCATTGCTTAATATTTTTCAAGCAAGTGACATAAAAAAACTTTACACGTGGGTCTATATTTTTGAAACAACAGAAATTGTTTAATATTTTCGAGAAATGGTTTGTATCCAGTCTAATATAACAGTGTGGAGACTTGCAATTAGGTATATTCAGTAACTGAAATGATTCTTCAAGGTATTCCTTCGTTGTTGTATGCTTAGTAAATGCTTTTACAGCTGCTCCGATTAACGCAGATGAGTCGTCACATACTAATTCATTTGGTGGTGTATTTTTTTCAGACCAATTTTTAAGCCATTTTGCAATCGTGTCCATTGTCTGACTCTCCGATATCATTTGCAATATAGGCAAACTACTCTTACCATCAAAAGTTTGAACTACACATACATATAAAAAAAGATGTTTCGTAATTTTCATGTTACGATGAGGCCCAAATTCTTTTAAAATGCTGCCAGTAGCATCTAAACTCATTATGACTCTGTGTTTTGCAATGTATTTCTTGTAATACAATTCTTGAGCTGACAGCCAATAGTAAATAACAAAATAAGGATGTAATGATATATGTCTAATCAAATCGTTATAAGGTGGGGTTTGCGCCATAAGCCATAAAAATATTGTTGGGTTCGGGTCGTAAAAGGAAGCCTTTTTAGTTTGATATTTAATTTGACGCAAAGTCCCTAATGTTTTTAAAAGTGTAGGTTCTACATCATTGTCTTCCATCACAGAATCAGCAAGGGATCGATGAACAGATAATGCGGAATCTGTTTTCAGTTTCGCGCTTAGTGCCGAGCGTTTGAAGGGTGACATTTTATTTTTTCTCGAAAGTTTATGATTGACTTTATTATCAACATTGCTGAGAGTACACTTACATGTAACAATTTTTTCTGTAGGCCAAATTAAAAAAAAATCAATCTTCGCTTTGCATTCCTTACAGTTACCATAGAATTTAATAAATTCTTGTGCTTTTATAGAGACTGTTTTAAAAATCCAAGAACATGGTTTCTTCGCAGCCTTCCATAATTCTTCTCGTAACATTTCAGCCCATACATGTTTTGGTAAGGACCACTTTTTTCTCTAGTTAGAAGAAGTGAAATGAGAGCTACTTCTTTTAACTACCTTAACAATCGGTTGAATTTTTTCCCAAGAGTAAATATCTAAATGAAAAGTGATGTACTCGTTGTTTAATTTTTCATCGTTAATATCAGAATTTGAGCTGGAATCGTCCGTTTCAATTTCTTCAATAATTTCTTGATCTTCTTTTGTTACAGAGTCATCCTCTATGTCAAAAAAATAGTCATAATGTCTTTTTAAGGATAAATAAATACTTTTAGGATTCATTAAAAAGTTTAAATCTTCACTAATTTTAGAGAAAATGTGGTCATTTGAGTGTAGGTAGTTGTTGTTCTTGAAGGCACTCGCATATTGCAAAAAAACTTTCTTTTGATGCTCCAAGGAAACTGCACCTCTTCTTCCTCTTTACATGTTTAACAAATATTTTTGAAGTAACACAAAAATAAACACTTCGAAATCTCAATATCGTTAATCTGATAACCGTTCCTTAATATAACAATAACTTTGTTGTAAATTACAGTGGGTTTGGGTTTGTTGTAGTAAATAAACTAAGATTCAGTGCTAATTCACACCTCGTGCGATTAGAACGCGTTCTTAGTGGTTAACAAATATAGTAAACAACTAACCGGTTTCTTATCGCTCGGCGCAGCGCGATCGGCGCCCGGCCGTCTGTTGTGTGAAGTTAATATGAACCATATTCTGAATGGCTAGCGGACGTGTTTACAATGACTGCGATGAAAATTCCATAGTTGACCAGCGTGGTGAGACTGACCATACATATTGTTTAGAGGAGAACATGGAGACAAATGAAGAACTAACAAATAAGCGGTTAAGAATCGAGAATGGTGAAAAAGGTTGGCAGACGGTTGCGAAGAAAAGAAAATCTATAGATCTTTCCAGCACGCAATCGGTAGAAAATATGTGGCAGATATGCGTATATTCTAAAGAAAAACTACCTAAGCAATTCGCTATGGCAAAGTTACTAAACGAAAATAAAATAACTGGAGTCACAAGAGTTAAATATGTTAACCCTTATAAGGTATCATTCACTTTTGATAAGGAAATTAACGCCGAGAAGTTTTTATCTTGTACCGGCTTAAGTGAACTTGGTTGGCGCCGACAAAAAACTTGGGAAGTTGACTTATGCTATGGAATCATCAAAGATATAGATGTGGAACTATCAGAGGCGGAGCTCATAAAATGTATTCGGGCTGATAAAGACCTTGTGACCGCTAAGCGTATGAATAGGAGAACGGAGGAAGGATGGACTCCGAGTGAAACCGTGAGAATTGGTTTTAAGGGTAATTCTTTACCAAGTCATATTTATTTAATGGACCTACGAATTGCTGTCTCTCCGTTTGTGTTCCCTGTGACACAATGCTCACGATGCTGGAGGTTCGGTCATACATCGAAGATGTGCCCCTCTAACAAGCCTCTCTGCCCGAAATGTGGCAAAAATGATCACGCAAACTGTGATATACCTATTTATAAGTGTGTCAACTGCTCTGCTAATCATATTTCACTATCAAGGGATTGTCCAGTTTACGCAAGGGAAAGATGGATTCGTGAGATTATGTCACAGCTGAAGTGTACTTATCAAAAAGCCGTGACTTTTATTCCGCCTTCTCCGCGTCGTACAGCCGAAGCAAACAAGTTTTTAATTAATAGCAACAATGGCCTTGCCTCTCAAGGATCATCTAACACCAGTGCACCGAGTATTGACACCGAACAATTCGAATTAGCTGAGATCAACGGGCGACCAAAGACAACTATCACAAAAAAGACTCACAAAAAAAAGAAAACAAAAGTTCCGGTCCACCTGTCCGATAATGTTATAGTGGATATGTTTGTCACTGACTCTAACCCCGAAGATTCAGCTGACCCTCAAGATTCTCAAACTACACAACCTCATACAAGGAAAAAATCTCGCGAAATATCGCCACTTCGGCGTGTATGGGATAACATTAAAGAGATGATACATAACATAAAAAATCAGATTCAAACACAATTTAAGGATGGGTTAAAAGTGGTTGTAGATTGGCTTAACATATTCCTAAGTAATTTAATACCCGATATGTGTTATTTATTCTTCTGCGTTCTCTCTCAAATTTTTGCAATGCCTGGAAAAGGCTTCTGAGTTGGGACTACTACATATAATATTATAAGATCATTGATGTACACTTGGTTGGCAAATAAAGATTTGATTTGATTTGTTTAAAAAAATATATTTACGTCAGTTAATGGATAACGCTTCCAATACATTAATTAGATTGAACATAATACAATGGAATGCCCGAAGTATTAAGCCCAAACTAAAGTAATTCGAACAGTTATTAATCCAAGAACACATCCATATTGCGGTGGTAAGTGAAACATGGCTTGCACCAGATACTCATGTAAATATCAATAATTACTATATTTTTCGTCTGGATAGGGATGGATATGGTGGTGTGGCAATTATAGTGCATAAATCAGTTCAAACACAACGGGTTGAAATACATAGAACTAATTCTGCTTTAGAATTAATTCATATAAAATTATTTAATTGCAATCAATTAGAACATTTAATTGCCATCTACTGTGCTCCGGAATCGTCGACAAATTCTCAGACATGGGACTATTTGTTTTCTATGGCAAACAGAAAGTCGCTTATATTGGGCGATTTTAATGGACACCATTCAAACTGGTCTTACAAAACAGATACGAGGGGAAACCAAATATTAGATTCAATATTAGACTATAATTATATGATATTAAATAATGGTAGCCCTACACGTTTTCAACTTGTAAACAATGTATATAGAAAATCTTCTCCTGACTTATCTATAGCGTCCTCTGATATCTCTTTGGGTTTTGATTGGATGGTATCAAATGAAACGTTGGGAAGCGATCACATGATTATTAAAATATCTACTTTATTTTACTCAAATGAGCAGTATCAAAAAAGAAGAAATTTCAAAAGGGCTAACTGGACAGTCTATGAGAGTTACCTTGATGAAAAATTTAATACTTATGATACCTCCACTCTTTATAATCCTCAAGTAGCTTATAATTCGTTCTTAAATATTTTATACGATGCCGCCGAGAAGTGCATCCCTAATATAAAATTTAGTGCTAACCCTACAAGTAATTTTCGGCCTAAACCATATTGGAACCCCGAACTATCCAAGTCAGTGGCAGAGAGGCGACTAGCACTAGCTAACTTTCGACGTAACCCCACCCCAGCAAATTTAATTGCACTAAAAAGGAAAATAAGTGTGTCACGGAGGATGCTTAGACAGACCCAAAGACAGTCTTGGCATCAATTTTGTAGTTCTATAGACGAAACAACCTCAGTATGGAATAAAATTAGGTGGATTAAAGACCAAACACAAAAAAGACACATTGACCCAGATACAGCCAGCCTTCTTCTATATAGCCTAACCCCTGACGATGTACCCCGATGTAAACCTATATTCTCTTCACAAAATTCGGCTCTAGATATTGAAATCACGTTGCAGGAATTAAATCAAAGTATTAAAAAAAAAGACTGCACCTGGGTTCGACAACATTTCTTACAGTATGATTAAAAATTTACCTCTAAACGCTAAATTAGTTCTAGTAAAACTGTATAACTCTTTTCTTTCGACGGGTTCAGTTCCTACTCAATGGCGAGATATTAGTATTATACCTATCCCTAAACCTGGGAGGGACACCCACTCCTCATCGGCACTGAGACCGATTTCGCTTATATCATGTTTGTGCAAAATTTTTCATGCAATTATACAGAAACGACTAGAGTGGTATTTAGAAAAAAATTGTATGTTTTCTAACGACACGTTAGGTTTTAGAAAGTGCAGGTCTTGTCTAGATAACTTAAGTCATTTAGTAACAAGAATTCAAACAGGTTTCTGTAAAAATTGTATAACAATCGGATGTTTCATTGATATAGATAACGCGTATAACAACATAAATATCAATAATCTTTTATATAAATTAGATATGTTAGGGGTGGGACATAAAATATGTAGTTACCTTTTTGAATTTCTTCGGGAACGTTATCTTAAACTAGTAATAAATGGTATGTCGGTGACCCGCAGCACCGGCAGAGGATTGGCACAGGGTGACCCATTGTCACCCTTGCTGTTTAATGTGGCAACTATAGACATTTGCAAACAACATAACACCGATTCAGTACACATCTTACAATATGCAGATGATTTCGTTATTTATTGTACACATAAAAACATATTTAACGCCGCTGAACAATTACAAACTTCGTTGGAGAATATCGTAGGCAGTTTATCTGAGCTTGGTCTAGAGATTTCGCCCTCTAAGAGTAAAATATGCGTCTTTAAAAAAGGTTGTAATAGACAAAATATTTCCATAAAATTGAATAATACAAGCATACAAGTAGTAGATAGTGTAAAATATTTAGGTTTGTGGCTAGATCGATCTCTTAGATGGGCTAAACACATAAGAGAAATTAATGAAAAAGTATCTAAATTTCTCAGCATCCTTAAGTTTGTGGCGGGGATAAGTTGGGGTATACACCCGACCCGACCGGATGTCTTAACAACAGCTGTTCCCGGATCCCTCCTGTTACAGGCGCAGAGTGGCACACCGTGTGGTTTTAGTCGGTCCGAGTCCGACACACCACCCCGCCGCAAACCCCGGAGGGGTGACGGTCCGAGGGGATTTCCACACGTAAAAAAAAATAATAAAAAAAAAAAAAATACACCCGAAACATTTAAGAA